TAAGAGATATTGTATATTCTTATAAGCACCCATCAGAATTTGCAGCATTAGAGATACTATGATGATTTTGGAACATTCTGTAACATCTACTATTCATTAGGGGGGTTTATATCCAAATTGAAAATTTACTCTTTAATGAAAGAAAACTACTAAAGAATCATTTTGTGCTTGGGTTCATTCTATTTGGTGGTTGTTTTAACGAATTTATTGAGCCTTTTGTTACTGAGATTGAACAACTAGAAAAAGAGATAGTAATGAATATCCTAGGAAATCGAAGCCTTATTATTGCAAGTCTTGGTGCTGTAACCGCTGACCTTTCGCAAGGAAATAATTTGACTAGAGTTAAAAGGCATGGTGCTATAAGAGGATGTCGTACATATAATATAGTAAAAAATTCCTGAAACTCTGAAGGTATCGTCTTATTTTATTTTATTTTATTTTTTAAAAGTGAGGCCTGGTCTCGGTCTTTATTGAATAATTATGCATTATATTATTTAAATAGATTACATGAATTATTAAAGATATCAACTTATCGATGGTTTCCTGCTACCATCATCTTAACGATAATCAATTTAAAGAAATTTCTACGGCCCCAACCATAACAAAACATAATGAACTCACTACAAAGTATGGGCTGTGTTTACAGTCACCAATATTTGATAGACTAAAAAGAAAAGGATACCTTCAGTGTCCACAAGATATATACAATCTTACAGCTAGAAAAGTATTAAGGTTTATCAAGATAACATTTGAAGCCTTTCAAATGAAGGAAAATTGGAATTTATTAAGTTTTGAAAATCATTTGAATATCCAAGAGCATGGCAAAAGTTACTGAATCTAATTTCTCATATGGATAGTTTTATGATATTAGATTGCTTATATTTAGCTATGATGATTACGTTTATTCTTAATAGGTTCTTAAAACCTATTTCTTTTAGAAATTCAGAATTAAATTTATTTAAAAGACGAATGGGAGTTTCTCGAAATGATTTGGCTTTAAATCTGTAGTTAAAATGCTAGATGCTAATGGCAAAGACAATGTAAATATTATTTAAACAATTTTTCACAGAAGATGATTATGTTAAATTGGGTAAATATTTAGATGATGAAAGAAAATTGTTTTTGCAGGTATTTAGGAATATTGTTATGTATATATTATTTAATGCATTGCTTATTATAATGATAAGTACGTATATATAAATAATAATATATTACAAATCAGGCTTTTGAAGATTTTGAAAATCTTCTGAACTTGCATGCTAATTATTATTTAGTACTATATGCAAAAAATTATGTGACCTTACTAAATATAGGTGTAGGACCAAAGAGATGATGCATTGCATATTCAAAAATATAGTATTATGAACAAATTAAAAAAATACAGATCTCGATCTGATATACAACATTGTTTGCACTACACCATTTATTTGATGGTAGTATTGACAAATGCTTTTCTTGTATAAACAATAATTTAAGGAATCTTCCTTGTCAATTAAAGTGTTTAATAAATGATTGGTTCATTATTAAATACTCCTTTGATTCAGAAAATATAAGTGAAGATTTGATTGAATTGTCATTAGTAAATTGTAAAAATATTCAAATATTCTTATAATAATTATTTCTTTACTAGATGAATATATCTCAAACATAGTCCTAAAAAAGTGTGTTACTAAGAAAAAAGCTGAAAAAAAATTTCCAAATAATTCTGACTTTCATAAAAAGCTAATATCAATATATCAAAAAATGGGCTATAAATTGGCATTTTTTGAAAATTTATACCAATACTATGAAGCTATTTGTTTTTTAGAGAATAATAGGATTAGTACACAACATCATCTGCATGTTGGTGATGTTGTCATTTTAGTATCTGAAGTGGGTGAATGTTTTGCGATTCTATGATCAATTTTCAGACATAAAAGGAATGATCAATATTTTATTTTTATTATTGTCAACGAGTTTGAATTTACTAACCAAGAGAAACTCAGATATTCAGTTTATAGGCTTCGAAAAACTTAGAGAATCTATCCTATAAGTGAAGTTGACACAAATAATGTAACACATTTTATTCATTATTGTAATAGTAAATGCACTGGTGGTGGTCATAATCTTAGGAATAATTTATATATAAAAAATATATATTTTTTCAAAGCTGTGTAATATATGAAATCATAGTGGTGTTCTCTTTCTTTTATTATTACTTTTATATAGAATATTATACTGGAAATAGTATAAAAGTTTATACATATTTATGTAATGATTGCTAATTTATATTTTTTTTATTCTGTGATGAATTTCAAATTATAGAAGTTGAATCTGATTTTTGTTAAGTAGAAAATTGATAAATTTGTATATATAGTGTTGTTTAACTAATAGTAAGCTGAAAGTCATAAAGTAGTTCAGTATTGTGTATAGATACTACACAACTATATAAGATTCGCATATATACAGTATGTATATATATACAAGATCTGGTGTAATATAATAAAAATCAGATATTGTGTGAAGTTTCTAGAACATCTATATTATAACACATTTTTTGATTCTTAAATTTTTTTTATTGCGCCACGAGATTTGGTATTTTCAGGCATAATCCACACAGAACTGTTCTTTGATACTAGATTAACAAAGTCTAGAGTTTAGTAGGGTTGAATTGTTCACTCAAACAGGGCATCTTGGAGCCTTTTCTTTTAGCAGGTGATGAATAGTGATATGGCAGTTAATTAACAGGCAAAGCATCTCTATTATCAATACTAAACAATACTTATTTCTTTTATTATTTCAATATCTCTAACTTGATAAGTATCTTGTGGTCTTGTCTGAATACTTATTAATAATAATCGAATTGTTTCTAATAGGTTTATATCTTTTCTTTAATAGGTTCAATTGATATTTAATTAAGGTCACTTTTTAGCATTACTTTCTTGAAAGTAAGCACTACTGGTTGGGCCATATTTATATTAGGTGATTGAGGTGTACTTTCTTCGCTTTATTTATTTTATCAAAAGTTTTATTAAATTCAGTTCAAATTTATTGCTCAAATTTAATATTGTAGTGAATGCTAAAATACGACTTCACTAGTTTCAGTATATTTATTTCGAAATATATCAAGAGGAAATGTTCTTCATTCAATTGGAATGAGTAATATTATGGGTATTGTTTTCAGAATGGTTGATTACTGATGATTCGATTAAGAATTAAATTTAATTTTTTTTTTTCTTTTTTTACTGATTCCTTTATAAATTCATCAACATTCAATTTTTTGTAGAATGATTTCTTTTTCAAGCCAACCCTGATGCAAATCAATCTATTTAGCTTGAAATTTGTGAATTAAATCACTTTTAACAACTGTATAATAGGATCTAGCATCGGTAATAGCATCTATTGTAATTTTTATACCATTGATATTAGACAGAAGGTGTGATGTTTCTCCTAAGGCTTTCAAAGTTTTCTGAGTTATTGTGACATTTAACTTAATACAGTATATACGAAAACACAAAACTATCTGAATAACTGCTATGCATTATCAAAGGGATAGCTTCTTTGAAACTTCTTGCATCACAACAAAAACCTTTTTTTACCCACATAACTATCCAATATCAATTAGCAATAAAATATCAGAAGTAAGTATAATGTAAAATTTTGTAGTTAAATTGTATCTAATGAATATTCATAACCACTCACAGTATCTATTAAAATCTAAATATCTACACAATATTATTTGTAGATGACCATGACTCATGAATTCACTGAATAACTACAAAGAATATTCAAAGGTTTGATCTCTGCTTTCAGACAATTCGTTTATTACATATTTTGTTATTTTACTTACTACATTGCTCTTATAGATGAATGTTAAAGTTTAAAAAGTAAATTAAACCACTATTTAATAATTAAGTGATATTGTTGCAATTATCTTTTTTGAATTTCGACATCCATCTATAATTGCTTTTTATTTTCATTACCATGATAGTAATATCAGATACTCAACTTACTACCATCCTTTTTTAAAACATTTTCTGCATCAAAACTTATAATACAAGTTTATTACTTTGAAAAACCCTTTTGCTTTATTCAATCACAAGTTTATTATCTGATCCATCATATGATATTTAATCTTTGCTTTTATAATCTAACTTTATCGATTCACATTTACTACCAGCATATTGTACTATTAATTGCCTGTTTTGTGAACTAGTTTGGATATTTACTTTCTATAGAGCTTATTTGTTTTTTGCAAACTTAGATTTTATCTTGGCATTTGTAAATAGTTTCGCTAATGCTATATATGTATTACTAACTTCATATAAATTATTACCAGGTTTTATCAGTTTGAAAATATTATGCAAATATGAATAACCTAGATAAGTATTATAGTCGCAACTGAAATCTACAGATATAAGCCATCTGGATGAATATTTTTCTAGTTCCTATTACAAATCAAATTGAAATTAAGAAGAATGAAACGAGACATTCATTGATTATCAAAAATATATTAGTAAGGATATTTGAGCAGAATGTTCTTGCTTGATTATTTTGCGAATGAATTTAAAAATAAGGCATCTTTTCATTATTAGGAATAAACAGATATGAACGATCCTGACTTGGTTATTAATTACAGCTAAAATATAAATAACCTGAATTGGTATTAACAATAAAAATAAGGCATTTGATTATTATCAAATAACCTGCAGATATAAAAAATCCATATCCCTTACTCTGTTAAACCAAATTGCTAGTATGTGGATACCCAGTAATCTTTGAATATCTTATGTCAAGAAAATCCTGAGCTGACAGCCAAAAAAATATGGGTTGCAGTATTTCAAAAATTTCTAATATATCTAACATTAAAAATTGTGTTTAATGAGTAAAATTTCATTCTGAAAACTTTTACTTAGAGGTCAGAAGTTACTTATCAGTAAATTTTTGTGTTATTTACATTTTTTTTTACATTTTTTCTATTTTTTGCATTTGTTTTATTATACAAGATTCTGCAATTTTATTGAATTCGGATAGGGTTGGAAGTGATCTTCAGTCCAGAATTTTCTTGACATAAGGGTACCTGTCATTTTCACATCCCTTACTCTGTAAGTCGAATTGCTAGAATGTGGATACCCAGTCATTTTCATGTTTTTAGCTTTCCAATATTGTTTGCGCAGTTCTGCTATTATACTGACATTACAAATACTTACATTAAAAGTCTAAAGATTATTAATATTTGAACATTTTGAAGTAGTACAAGAATGAGATTTTTACAGGACCTCAAAAAGTGAGCAACGAAATAAAAAGATAAAAAAATCATGTGCTAAAAGAATAACTTTTTCTGAAAACTCTTGAACAAACAATTTAGTTTTCTTATGATACCATGGGACCTTAGATTATGATACCAATTATTAAGTCTAAC